TAGCAATAGCAGTAGCAGCAGCAGTCGTAGTAGCCGTAGTGGTAGTGGTAGTGGTAGTAGTGGTCGTAGTAGTGGTCGTAGTAGTGGTCGTAGAAGTGGTCGTAGTAGTGGTCGTAGTAGTGATCACAGTAGTGGTCGTAAGTGGTCGTAGTAGTAGTAGTAGTAGTAGTAGTAGTAGTAGTAGTGGTAGTGGTAGTAGTAGTAGTAGTAGTAGTAGTAGTAGTAGTAATAATAGTAGTAGTAACTAGTAATGACTTGCGTTTACAGCGTCTTATGGCACAATGATGCGAAACGGAATGCTTCTTCAGAGCCAAACACAGGTACTTAGGTTGATGCAGGTGGTGAGCAAGTAAAACCACGCCAGGAACGGTAATCCTTCGCTTAGTTTTCTGAGCTATCTATATAGCTACGCACATAAACCGTCAGGTTCAAGACATGTATGACGACTGATTATGGGTTCCCTTTCAAGCACACCCCAAGAAGGCAAATGCCACGGTGCCGGCTAACAGCTAGCGGTTTTACTGTCGACGGCGCTGCATATTTGCAACATACACCAAACATATCACAGGGTCACCTAGTGCGAGCCTGGGTGAAGCGCTTTTCATAAGGTAGGATCCGAACCGTAATAGGTATTATAATATCTAGACACCATTTAGATGAAGTCTGCACCACACCCGCTGAACAACCTTCGTACGCCGAACAGTCGAAGCAATGATCTACGATCACCATATCGATCACCACATCAAGCAATAAGGCTATCGATCATCACGCACATTGCAGAGTCTTGACTTCAGGATGCTGACCAATACACAAGAAACTGCCAAACACGTGAACTCTCAAAACCCATGTCTATCTGTCGCACAACTTGCTGTCTTCAGCGAAGTCGCCGGTCCTCACCTGCGAAAGGGCCACGAAAGCCGGCGTATCCACGCCTCGAGATCGCATCACGCTCAGGTCGTGGTTCAGCAGTTCAATTTATGGTTCAGGAACCACCTGGCAATGATTGTGATCTGGTCGTTGTGGTGTGGGTTGTGGGGTGGTGGCAGTGATGGCGTCGAGGGGACGAGGGTGGAGCTGGCTTGCATTGCATCTGTTATGATGTTCTTCTTATTTCTGACTAAGTTGCCGACACATGCTTTTGCAGCGGCTGTAGCCAAGCCGTCGTCGCCGACCGTCGTCGTCGTCTTCGTCATTTATGCTACTAGAAATAGTAGTAGTCGTCGTCGTAGTAGTAGTAGTAGTGGTAGTGGTAGTGGTAGTGGTAGTAGTAGCAGTAGCAGTAGCAGTAGCAGTAGCAGTAGCAGTAGCAGTAGTAGCAGCAGCACAGGACGGTGGTGGTAGTAGCAGTTGCTGTTACTGTTCTTGCTGCAATGTGTTGCCATGAGTGTTATTAGGACAGCTGTTGCTATTGTTTGGGGTTGTTGCTGTTGCTGTTGCTGTTGCCGTTGCCGTTGCCGTTGCCGTTGCCGTTGCCGTTGCCGTTGCCGCTGCCGTTGCTGTTGCTGTTGCTGGTGTTGTTAGTATTGCTGTTGTTGGCTTTGCTGTTTTCGTTGTTGTCGTTGTTATTCTTCTTCTTCGTCGTCGTATTACTGTTATTGTTCTTTTTCTTGTTAGCGCACTTCTGTTTCATCTCGTTGTCGTTCTAGCTCATAGTCGTGGCAGTCGTAGCAATAGTGTCTTGAAAATTACCGCCAGTAGAGGCACACCATCCAAAAGACACAACATCACATATAAACCATGTTGGCGAGGTGCTCCAACGGAAGTCTGTTAACTCCACATGTTCTAAGCACTGACAAGAACCACGCAGTATTCTCGCATGGTTTGGCTACTGTGCGGGTGTATTGATGCTCCATGCCTTTTCTGCTGCACTTGATTCGTCTGATTAAGCACAGGTGTCTGATGCAAGTCAGTGTACGTCGTCCTCAAGTCGCTGTGCAACAAACACAAGTGACCATTGAAAACTTCTTTAAATCCCAGGCCTTAAGCCCAAAAGCCTAAAACCTATAACCTTGGTCAAACTCCGAAGCCCCCCCCCAAAAAAAAAAAAANNAAAAAAAAAAAAAAAAAAACCTTCTCTTACAGCTCTCCAGCCGGGGCACTCAGAGCCACCACGCGGCCGAGGCGGTCTGCCAGAAGGTTGACCCAGCTGATCCAGAACCTCCTGGCTTTTTTGGGTTTGGGGTGTTGGATTGCGGCGATTATGGGTTGGAGTCTCTTGGGGATAGAAAGCCACCTCTACAATCCTTGGGCCTATAGGAGCACCTCGTTCTGAGTTTAGGGATTGGGATCCCGGGTTTGGGAGATGGGCGGGTTGCTGCACTTCAGGGTCTCGTTAGGGGGTCTCCAGTCCTTGTCCAATTTGTGACTGTGGTTTCCGCTGAGCCCGCTCGTCTGGGAATCAAAACGCAGACCCTAAACCACTTGCCAAAATGCCACCTGTGCCGTGGGTGCGGCTGGCGGCATCGCCAGGGGCGCTGCAGCAGGTGCAAGGGGAAGTTCGGATGCAGTCTTTGCACCCTCTGTCGGGGGTTGCTGCGGTGACGACGGCTTCTCTGTAGCCCAAGGCCTGGGGAAGCTCGGATCTGTTCCTATTTAAGGGGTTTAGGGTTTAGGGTAGAACTTGAGCATAGTCGGGCATTGGGGACCTATATGAGATGCGGCGTCGGTGTGCACCGACGCCTCGACCCTGCGCTGAAGAATCTGGACCCATGACTCGCCGAAACGCATATACCTCAATTCGAAATGTCTGTAACTGCAACCTCTTATGCTTGCAGTTCTCTTAAACCTTCCAAGCTGGCAAAGCCCACATGCACTTCGAGTTGCTTGCTTTGCAAGGCAGGCCTACATTACGGCTTTTCTGCCGGTCTCCCTGCCTTTCGCTGTCTCTGTCTCTGTAGATGGATAATATGCATGCATATGTCGAAACATATAGCCGCAAGTAAGTAAGTAAGTAAGTAAGTAAGTAAGTAAGTAAGTAAGTTAAGTAGAGACATCCATGCGTACTTGATGTCCTATTCATCGCATTGGGTACGGGCATCAACATCGTTACCGCCAAAGGCATCACGTCAGTATCGTTACCACCACAACGACAAGCAAATGCGTCATCCTTCTGAAAGAAAGCTGCCTGATCGTCTAATGAGAGCTCCGTCAAGGGCCACCCTACGGGCTACTATAGGACTCACCGCACTGTTGACAAGTTGCTACAAGACTTCCTCTGGGTTCTCTATAACCAAGGGTACTGTAGACAATGCTCCTGAACGCTAAGCCGGTAACATCCGTAAACCCCAAACCCTAAACCCTCTGGATAACGCCAATTTCTTTCGGACCCCATAAAGGCCCGGGCAGCTGCCGTGGCGGTTGGGAACGGGCTCGATGCCCGCGGCCGAAGACGTGGGACTGAGAGCATACATATATATATATATATATGTATATAGATATGTATATGTATGTGCGTATGTATGTTGTGTACTCATACATGCGTTGGAACATATACAAATATATGCATACACATATAGATATGTGTCTTTATGTACATATGCATGTGTGCATGCATACATGAGTATGGATACACAATCAACATACAACGCGTGTACCTATATGTGTGTATATGTGTACGGGTATATGTTTATAAGACTATGTATATAGATTTCAGCATATGTTTATGATATACATATACATATATATATATATATGGTCGCCCCCCCCCCCCCCCCCCTTT